AGAGGTTGGGAATGAATTTAACGTATAACGTGTATGCAGGTGATGGAGAATTTTCCATTGGAACCGGAAATTTCTCGAGCTTTGACAGTCTCTGGGGTCGATTTTAGTAAAACGTGCTAACATTCGATCGCAGAAAGTCTCTGTCCAAAGCACTGCTATTCACTTGTGTTTATATTATTATATGCCCACAAGTGAGTTCCCTCCCTTGATTTTCTCTGAAATGAATTCGTCATTTCATCCCTGGTGGATGGATAGTCAGGGATGAGCCCTGATTAGCGTGAAGGTTTTTTTCCGTTTTCAGAATAGTTTTTTTCGTATTCCACGAATGCTGTGCTAGCAGCACGAGAAGTGCTACAGTTTGCCACATCTGCAGGACCATCATTTGTCTCTGCGCAATCGAGACAATCATCCGTGATACCCTGCGTGGAGTGCTAGCCACATGAAAGCATACTCTATGAATACCGGGTGGATGTATGGTGTCATCGTATGTAGCATGTCGTGTGCGTGTCGATCGTGTGCATTTGTTTAACAGAGAGAGAGAGAGAGAGGCAGAGAGACGATCGAGAGAGAGAGAGAGAGAGGAGAGCAGAGATGAGATTTGAGATGACAGCAGGAGTAGAATAGATAGGGCAGTTTCCAGTCTCGAGTGAAGCTTCATAGGGTCTGATTCATCAGCGGGGGTACTGCGGAGGTAACCCTGGTCGTACTATCTATGATGAGTTAGGGTTAGGGAGTAGGCGTAGCGGACTGCCCTAGACTCGTTATGTGGAGTAGCAGCGAGCGTACTGGTCCGGCATATTTAGATAGTACCAGGGTTGAGGGTACGTTGCGGATATACCGGACCATACCCAGGGTACGTTCGCGCTCACTATGCGGGGATCATTTAGACCCTCTCAGCGTCGAGTGAACTGGTGAGCCGAAACGTACATACACGCGACCTCGTTCTCAGCGACCCTATCAAGAACAACACCGGCAGTCACCACCATTGTAACCGGTCCTTTTCACTCTTCTCTCTTTTCTGTTCCCGCAAAGTGTGACAGTAACCACCATTTCACGCTCTTTTCCGCAGCAGACGGTGGCGCCATCTATGGAGCACGAGCTGTCGCTGCGGAGTATACCTGTCGCCTGAGCATCTAGCCCTGACGCCGGCCACATGCTCTACGACATCTCGCCTGCGCTTCCATCGACCGCGTTCCGAGACGAGACGCGCGGACGCGCTGCGCCGACGCTGGCAGCCTAGAGAGCGCCTCGCCTCTAGTCGTCCATGTCAGTCCAGCGTAGAGGCCGCCTCGTCACTCTAGTTCTGTAAGCCTGACGCAACGCGTCGTCGGTATGAGGGCGCCTTTCGCTCCGCTCATCGACACGTCGTTCAGCGGACGAGACGAGGGGACGCGCTGCGCCGACGCTGCGCTAGAGCGGGGCGGGGTGCGGCGTCGTGAGTGTCCGTCGTGGGGCGGGTCGGGTAGAGGGCCGCCTCTCACTCTAGTCTGTCGGTCGTGTCGTAGAGGGCTGCTTTCGCCTCCGCTCCATCTGACACGCGTTCACGGCGAACGACGCGGCGACCGCGCGCTGCCGCGACGGGGGGTGGCAGTAGACGGCGCCTCGCTCTGTCCGTCGGCATCGGTTAGAGGGCGCCCCTCGCTCTAGCTGTCGTCATCAGGTAGATGGCCCTCTCGGCCTCTAGTCCATCGTCAGTCCAGTAGAGGTTTCGCCTCTCGCTCTAGTTCTCATCGCGGTAGAGGCGCCTTCTCGCTGCGCGCCATCGACCAACGCTGTTCGACGGACGAGCAAGAGGCGGCTCGACTCTAGTCCCTCTCTCTAGTTCCCCCTTCCCCCCCCCCCCCCCCCCTCCCCCCCCCCCCCCCCCCTCCCCCCCCCCCCCTTCTTTCTATTACCTTCCTTCTCTCTCGTCGTTCCTCCCTTCCTCCTTACCTCCCTCTCTCCACCGTTCCCTCCCCCTACCTCTCTCCCTCTCTTTCTCCTTTCTCCTTCCTCCTTAACTCACCTCTTCCCTTCTTTTCCTTCTCTTACTTACCTCTCTCCTTTCTCCCTCTCTTACGATCTACTCCCCTTTCCTTTAGGACCAGCTCAGTGATTGCTGGTTGCCAGAAACAACTAAATGCTACCTGTATAATCATCCCCAAAAATTGGTAATTTTTGGTGTCATTTCTAGTGTAACTCCGTAGCTACAATTTAATTCTCTGTTGTACCCAAACTTTGGAATCTGCACGCAATCTCGAGCATTGGTTGCAGCGATTGTGCTGACCACAACTGCGGGATTCCCTATGTTTTTGGCCTTGTACCAATCTCAAGATTGGGCAAGACTGAAAACAGTTGGTGATTTCATAGCAATCCGTACCTCTATAGCGATGTGTGTGTGTGTGATCGTGGTGCAACACTTAGAAGAAGATGTTTATTCTAATACAACATTAGAATCTTATCCAATTATTTATTTATAATCATTTAGATATTTATCACAAAGGTTGCCAAAACATTGGAGGAAAAAGAAGGATATACGACCTCTTGATAGTTTGGCGATATAATCATTTGAAATCCTAATAATCATGTTTGTGCAATGCTCTGTTTTACCTCTGTTCCAATCTCAGATTGCGTGCCCAAAGTCTGCGGATGCCGCTGGAAATTCCAATGTCTTGGCTGCAAGATTTCCCACAGTCTTGTGGCACTATATACATCACCTTAATTCAGGTACTGTTAATGTATGTTATTGCAATCATCGCCTGCTAGCTTATGGCCAGCAGTAATAGAGTGTGTGCGCTACCGCTGCGCATTTATTTATGTTTCTACTCGTGTCTGTTTAGTCTTGCGCCTTATGTCGAGGGATTTCATAATGGAAAATTCCTGTTTCTTGATATAACAATTGTCAATTTTAGTGTACGTCGATTCTGATGCTAAGTATTAAATGATGCGTGTTCCTGGTAATTTTCAATCTTTACTAATATCAAGTGGTGGTCTGTTTCAGTTAGCAGTGTTCTTGGGTCCCTCCTTTATTACTATATAATAGTAAAGCATCGGTCCAGGAACTCGACCATCTTACCCGGTATTAGCTGGCGCAGTCGTGATGTTGTATAATAGCTTTTGTAGTGCCACATGAACCTTTGAAACAAGTTTATGTACATGTTTTGGTGTGCGGTTTAGCGGACAGAGTACGTCGAGTTCTTTTTTAGCTTCGCTTGCACATTTCTTTTCGTGATTCTTCTA